GCCAAAAGAGAAAGCTCTGTGTTGGATTCAAGACTAATTTCATTTGCTGAAATGCAACAGATTAAGTCACCGAGTACCTCAATTCATTTACACATTTATTTTAAGTACCTATTCAAAAGCAAAGCGCCTGGAACTGCTCCTGGCCTGGATGGGTGGTAGGCAGTGGTGATGGGAACAAGTAATCACAAGAAGTGGGAACAAGAACAGAAACAGTGCTCAGTGGGGTCAGCCAGTGGCTTCTGAGCCGAGTCCACCGGGTGGCCCAAGAGTGGAGGTGGAACGGCTCTCCAGGCTGCCAGACAGTGTGTTCATTCTTGTGGAGGCACAACCCTGCAGGCCCCCTGGCTCAGGGAGCAACACATCCCAGCCCAGCCAGCACCGGGGCCCCAGGAGGCCTGGCAGGAGACAGACAATGCAGGGCCTGGACTTGATTCCACAGGCAATGGGGAGCCACAGGTGGAGTTTAAGCAAAAGAGAGGCATATCCTAATGTGTTTTAGAAAGACAGTTTGTTTTGGAAAGACGCAGTGAAGAAAATAAAATCAGAATAGGGGAGATCCCTAAAGCACAAGAGTTTCCACCTATCACATTTAAATGACTCTTTCTGTTCTGATTAACAATTCACCCTAAAAAGCCAATATTAACAATTCACCCTAAAAAGCCAATATTATCCAACTCATTTTGCCTTCATAACAGTTCTCTGTAAAATGGGGACTAATAATGACTGAGTTATTGTGAAAACAAATGGCTTAAGGCCTCCTTCTGTATGAACAGCACACATCACAGTGTCTGGCGCAGGGTAAACACTCAGAAGCAACTCCTTGCTGTGTGCATTAGCTTCAACGCCTTCCTGCATGGAGGTTTCGCATCAGCCTATTATTTCAAGGCACTTACTCAAGGACAGTTTCTCCACCATCAGGGATTTTTTTCTGGTGGGAGGGAGCGTAGGTCTTGGGGTGAGTCTGACTCTTTCAGGATCATTCAAGTTTGAAAGCCTGAGGTTTCTGAAAGGCTGGTCTCCAGGGAGCTAAGGTTGTTTTTTGTGCTTTTTTTTTTTTTTTTTTTTTTATCCAAGGGACCCTGTTCTTTCAAATGGCTGCTATACCTCTGAAGGCAAAGTTCCATCTATTTGCATTAAGTTGTCAGCAAAAATAATATGTACATTAGCAAACTATGAAAATCCAGAATTTTGCAGAGCTTGAAACTGAGATCAAGGAAAAAAAACTCATAGCACACTTAATGTGATGCTTAATGATAGAAATGGTTACTGTGCTCTCTGTTAATCAGACATAAATGCTATTTCATTCCCATCAATGACAATCATGACTGGGTGGGGCAGAGACTTCTCTGAAGACGGGCCAGATGTTCCTATCTGATGTCTAGCGGGATGAGTTTAAGGTGAGGAAGGCAGAATCTCTGCGGGCTTCAGATACACCCTCTTGATTTAGGACAAGTCAGGGCTAGAGTTCTCTCCCTTCAAAGCCTGGCTATCGATATGCAGTCCTTAGTCTGAGGCCAACATTTAGGACGCTTCATTCCCTGTCAAGAAAGGAAGTGTTAAGGCTTCCCTGGCGGCGCAGTGGTTGGGAGTCCGCCTGCCGATGCAGGGGACACGGGTCCGTGCCCTTGTCCGGGAAGATCCCACATGCCGTGGAGCGGCTGGGCCCGTGAGCCATGGCCGCTGAGCCTGCGCGTCCGGAGCCTGTGCTCCGCAACGGGAGAGGCCACAACGGTGAGAGGCCCGTGTACCGCAAAAAAAAAAAAAAAAAAAAAAAAAAGAAAGGAAGTGTTACCCAGTTCTGAGGGACTGGCGAGGAATTCCTATGTTCTCCAGCCCTGAGCTCAAGGGTTTCTGCATTCTTACAGCCCCTCTTCCAACTCTTGGATCTAAAACCCCAGTGGAGCTCCAGCAACAGGGTAAACACAGGCTGGCCAGGGAGAGCTCTGCCAGGAGCTGGAACAGAGCGTTCCAGCTTGCTCTGGGTGGGCCTGGGGTGCTTTGGAAGTGGCTTGGTGTCAGGAGGACGCCCTTCTCCCTCAGCTACTCTTGTGTAGGTTTAGCTCGTACTCTTATTTAATGCTTGTCACTTTTCATTAACTTTTGTGGCAGGCCCGGGTTTGCTTTCAACTCTCTGTATCCAGCAGAGGATTTCTGGAGCTCTTTCAGACGTAGACGCTCCTGTCAGAGAGTGACAGCTCTCTCAGCCACAGGTCAGCGAGGCAGAGATAGCAACTTGCATTCTGGGCTTCCGATCAAATATTCAGAAAAGGGCACTTTACCCTTTGAAAGTTGCAAACTAAACAGAACTTCAGCCTGGGAAGCAAATGTACTTCTGATTATTTAGACTGAAGTTCTAAAGAGGACGCGACAGTCAGTGGTTCCAACAACATCAATGAACGAATTTCAGGCAAATGCACAGAGAACAAATACGAAGTAATATCAAAGTTGTCCTTGTAACATCAAATTCCTATTCATCTACTCACATCCTGGGGAGTGTCTGTCTCAGTCTTTCAGCAATTATCATCTTCAAACTGTGTTGTCCTACACCACTGGTTTTCATCAATTTGTACGAATCCATACCCATGTCCTTATAAGTGTGTGTTTTCCTTTCGTATCATCAGCTTAGAGGCACTTAATGTAACACTAAGAAAACAAGCTCCCCCAGTGGAAAGAGACCACATTTCCTCTTCCTTCCAACTCATCTCACCGCTGTATATTTACAGTTCTGGTTCTTTGTGAACTGTATGTTAATCACTGTGTCCTTTAAGATTTTGCTACTCAAAGTATGATCCACGGACCAGCAGTCACATGGGAGCTTGTTGGAAAAACAGACTACTCAACTCTACTCCAAAATAAAATAAAACGTTAAAAAAAAAAGAGTCCTCCGTATCCTTGCCAATACTTGTCATTGTCAGACCTTTAACTTTGGGGCAATCTGGTGAGTTTCCCTGATTACGTGTGAGGTTTAGCACCTTTTCCCATGTGCCTACAGAGCATATGAAACGTGGCTAGTCTGAGTTGCACTGAAAGAAGTAACATACACACCAGATTTTGAAGAATTAACAGGAAAAAGAATGTAACGATGTGTCATTACTAATTTTTATATGGATTACATGTTGAAATGATAATAATTTGGATACACTAGGTCAAATAAGATACAGTATTAAAGTTTAAGAAACAGACCACTCAGGCCCTTCCCTAGACCTACCAATGTAGAGTCTGCCATCCCCCTGGGAGTCACACTACAGTGTAAGAACACTGCCTCAAAAGATAATGTGAATCTCACAAATCTACAATCTGCAAAAAAAAAAAAAAGGAAATACTTTCGCATAGAAAACTCATATACAACAGGATGTACGTGGGCATATAAGCAAACATAATACTAAGAAAAGCCAGCATGTTTCCTAAGTGGCAGACCTGTTATGAGGACCTTATGTGTATTGGCTCGTGACTCCTCACTACAATGCAGGAAGTAGGTACCATCCTCCTCCTGTTGCAAATGATGTACACGCACAGAGAGCTTACGGCACTTGTACAAGGTCACACAGTCAATCACGGAAGAGGTAGGAATTGAACACCCAAGCAGTCTGACTTCAGAGGGCATGTTTTTAACCACTAAACTACACCACCTCCCAGCAGTGTGCACCTGTATTCAGGAAATAGAACAGTTGATTCAGGATCTGAAAGAAAAAGCTAGGTTGCTAAAAGGTGCCTTATTTCTGGTTCAGTAGCATTTAGAAGCAGGGACTAGTTGAGCCGGAAACCACAAAACACTAACGGAACTCCTTTGGGTATTATCTGAGGACGGTAAGGATAGAGGGGATGCGTGAAACCCAGTCTTTTCCAAACGAGCAGAAATTGGAGGCCAGATAGGTCCCAGCCTTCAGCGTGCTTCCCATCATACTCCCTACCTCTCTTGTACTGCATCAGTGCTCTGGGGGTTTCTTGCTCATCCGAAGACAACCTCACATGCATCAGGTATCAAATGACAGCTTTTTCCTTCCTTTATTCACAATCCGAGAATATCCATACTGCTTTGATAAATTATTTTGTATCCTATTTAAAACCTCATTAAGAAAAAGGTTGGAAGGGGAAGGCGGGTGCTTATAAATCATACTCAAATAGCTCTAATACTAAACACAGTGGCAATTTACGTTGAAAGTAGAACAGGAACTTTCAGACGTGACAAGAGCTCTTCCTTTGATGAAACTCAGTCCTGCCAGCAACTGTTAATTAAGATAGAATCTTAGTCTGGGCTCCAAAGAGTCATTTACCTGCTAGAGTCAGACCTCCACTCTTACATTTATAGATGAAAGGAGGGTCGACATCCAGGCTCCAATTAATGTGGCTGTGGAATTGGTACCATCTCCTCTGGGGCACCTATTTTTAACCACATGGTGCTTTCTGTCAAAGGGTAGCATCCCACAGGGATTCTCTACAGACCAGAATGTTTGCAGAATGCAGGGCAGGGAGTTCCTGGAACAGACTTCAGAAGTACAAGGAGGCTAAAAACTTCCTGTTGAAAGTACAACTTCAGCTATAAAGGCACTAGACAACTTTCATTTGGAAGCTGGCCCCAGCTGGTGGGAGGCAAGATAAAATATGCCATGCCCTTAAAATGCCACCCTGATGACTTCAACTGCTTCTTGACTGATCCAGCAGTGCCCTTTTCATAACCTCCACTTCAGAGGGAAGAAAGAAGCTTTGGATCCAACAAGGAAAGATCGCTGAGTTTCTTACGACGCACGTGATATAAACATGCATAAGTCACTTAATAACTGAAATGCCAGAGTCAGACTTGGCAACTCCCAAAGATCGAAAACACGGAGCAAAACAAGCCGCCCTGTCTTACGCAATTCTCCCAGAGCTTATGGTTTGGAGTGGAGGGGACCATAACATGTGGGGAGGAAGCACGCCACAGCCTGGGGAACAGTGCAGTCGGCAGGCACAGATCAAACACCCGAGACCCACTCCAGATACGCCAGTCCAGGGGCACTTACCTTGCACTGCCCAGACACGCAGATGGCCGTGCCGTTCTGGTCACAGGGGGTACCATCAATGACCTTCTCCGCCTGCCGTACGTAGAAGCGGTAGCCCATTGCCTGGCAGTTCAGCTCACACTTCCGATTGCCCTTGGCTACCGAAAAAGAAAAACACAACCCAATAATCAATAAGCATCTTTATTTTTTTCTATATTTTTTATTGAGATAAAATTCACATAACATAAAATTAACCATTTTAACCAAAGTGTGCATTTCAGTGGTTTTTAGCATATTCACAGTGTTGTACAACCATCCCCGTGAACTAATTCCAGAACATTTCTATAGCCCCAAAAAGGAAATGCTGGACCTGCTAGCTGTCACTCCCAATTCTCTCCTCCCCGCGAGACCTTGGCAACCACCAAATCTATTCTTTGTCTCTATGGATTGCCTATTCTGGACATCTCATAGTCACACACCTTTTAAAATGCGTGAAAGTTATTAGATCTCTCTCTCTATTTGATGGTAGAGAGAAGGGGCTGTATCTTGATCTATAGGTACATAGTAGAGAGTCGATGCTAGTGAATACTGTGAAGGAATTCTTAAAGAATCTCACAATGCAAATAATAGACTCCCCTTTTAGACATCCTCCCATGCTTTAACATAGTCAAAATTATATCGTATAAATCAGCAATCACAGTGAGCACACAATATTTATGTTCTACTTTTTATTATTTGAAATCTATACAATTATATCATTTTATGTTCTTTTACATGGCTGAGTTTCCTAATAATGCCTCCATTACCAGATATTTAAGTGGTTTCCCTATCACCTTAGTTTGGAGTCCAAAATCCTCAGCAAGGGATAAAACATCTTTCAGGAGCTGAACCTTGCCTACCTTTATAGTCTCATTTCCTCCTGTTCCTCCTTAAATCTGCATTCTATCCCCAATTAAGCACTTCCTCTGTCCAGCCATTGTTTCACTGCTCCTCTGGCTAGTACCTGTTTCTACTTTGCTTTAGTTCCCAGGTCACCCCCTCTGGGAAGCCCTCCACAGATCCTGATCTACTCTATACGTCCGTCCATCACAGGCTGACCCAGCCTCCTCTACTATAAGGTTAAACAAACTTCATTTGAAGCATGGCTTTGAGGGACCACAGAGATGTGTCTATCTTATTCACTTTTATATCCCCAACACTCAGTAGAGAGCTGGGCACATAGCGAATGCTCAATAAATCCCTGAGGAATAAAAGGAGGGATAGATAAATGAATATTGGCCTTTGGGTTTTGCTTTGTTTTGTTTTTGTTTTTGCCTTTCTCTCCTCTCTCCCCACTAGATAGATTCCCCTACCTCGGGGTGTTTCTTTATATTTTTGTTACTTCACAAAAAGTACTTCACCAGCACAAAGCCTGGTGCTCAATAAATGCTAAATTAATTACTGCTACAACTAATATTTTCAGAGCAATCTAGTTGCCTCCAAAATAAGAATGAGAAGAATGTTCAGGTGAGATATATTTCCATATCCAAGGGAGAAAGACATGCCAAGTACACAATGATTTTGTTTAACTGCTTTTGGAGACAAGACTAATGCTATGTTCAGCCATAAATAGCATGTTCCAGGGTCATGCCTTTGTCTGAAAATCTGATTACTGCATTGGATAATACTAACTTTTTCCTACACAACACAATACATCATACTTTCCCCAGTGTGGCTGCCTGACTGTCATAGCAACGAACTTCCTTCTACTCCAAAGCCATTGAAAACCGCTAACAGGAAATCACAGGCAACCTCTGGGACCACATGGTTTAGGGAAGATTGAATCTTCTGTGTACTCTGAGCTCTACTGGAGAAGTCAAGAGACTTGATTTCCTACACTGGCTGCCCAAAAGATATAAGAGGTGATCTTGGAAAAGTCAAAGATTACCAGAGACGAAGCACCTTTGGGAATGTCTGAAACCAAACCGTCATTTTATGGATTAAACACACACACACACACACACACACACACACACACACACACACACACAC